TGTGAACTACGAAGTATGACCAACACATTGCATGAACCAAAAATCAGATTATCATGGTTGTTGTTGTTGTTATTATTATTACTATTATTATTATTTTAAAAGAAAGGCTAAAGGATAACTTTAAGGCAGGTATATGCCACAAGATACAGTTAAGTACCTAGTGGGATAAAAATTCTAAAGATGCTCAAATGCCATTAGAATCAAAGGGAGTTAGGGAACTCCATTGCTAAAATGTCGGAAGCTTCAGTGTGTTTTATTTTTCTTTGTTACTCTGTAGATTCCTTTGATAGTGAGGTCTTATGCTTTTTTCTTTCTTAAAAATACCACCAGAGAAGAATATGACTTGGGAGGTGAATGCTCCCTTCCAAACGAGGTTTTGGCTCAGGTACGTAAACCTGCACCAGAGCCAAAGTCTCACAAATCTGAAGGATTTTGCATCTGGGAGGGAGTCTCATAGCTATAAGAGAAGGTAAACTGGCAATGGACTGAAAACAAATTAATAATTCTTCATATGCTTGTTTTTTGTTTTTCCAGCTGCCTATTTCTCTCTTCTTTAAAAGCCACCCTCCACACTTCCCAAGAAATCCTTTCAGTTTCTTCTTTCTCTTCACTACTGACCCTTTCACCCATTGCAAAATGCCTCCCTTCCCTCTCCACATTGCTCAACTCTTTCCAGGGAAGTGTCACTTTGTCACCTCACCCTCCATCCTGCCTTCCCGACTGTCCCAGCCTGAGCCTTGTGCTGAGCCAGCTACACTGCACTTCAGTGATAAATCATATCATCACCCCTTCCCCTGTTCACATGCCAATTCTTTCCTTTTTTTTTCTTCCCCCAAAGACTTGCATAAACCACCTTCAACCATAGAATAGAGATCAGTCTTTGTAACACATATTTCAAACGCTCTTCAGAAAATCCTGAGTGAAGCTCCCAGTAAACATCAGAGAGCACAAGAGATGCACCCAGTGCCCTGCCTTTGGGTCACTTTTCCACGTTCTCGAGCAGGTAAAAAGGGAGAGACCTGTCAGTTCAGTGACACTGGGGCACTCCACAGCCTTTGCACAATAAAACCAGTTTGGATTAAACTCCCATGAACTGCAATAATGTATACAAAGATAGTAAAATACAGAGTCTTTTAAGGTCATGTCTGATGAAATTGAAGTAGATTAATTAATAAATAATGTCTTAATGGTGCTAGAAGAGCTAATGAGAAATTATTACCATGAATTATTGTAGAGATAATTAATATCTGTCTGTATATGTCCATAGAATCGGATGTGCGCAAAAATTATTTCTACAAAGACTATATCAAGTAACTGTTTGAGAAACCTGAGTATATTCTTGATCAGGGCACCTGAAAAGTCTCATTCCAAGGTATTTGTCATATCATCAATGCTCCAGGAGTGATTTTCTCCACTAGAGCAAGGGAGGGACAGAAACCTCTCTCACAAGAGAAATAGAAAGTACTGTTGATTTTTATTTTCAGTCTTAAGTGTCCAGAGAAAAAATTGTATAGCCTGGCTTTGTATTTCTCCACAGTGAAAATCCTTAGTGTTTCTACTGGAGCGATTTCTCTCTCTTGTTGTGCCTCCTACATCAGTGAAGCTTTTTTCACTAGTTTGCATTCTGGAGACAGGATTGGAAAAAAAATAAAAATTGAAAATATTGGAAAAAACCCCCAACTTTGAAGTTCACTAGTTTGCATTCTGGAGACAGGATTGGGAAAAAAATTAAAATTGAAAATCTTGGAAAAAAACCCCAACTTTGAACACTGAGAGCTTTTGGTTGTTAATCAGACCTACAAAATCTCCGTGAGGACCCCAGGGCAAGATGGGTGGCCTCACCATCCATCAGCTCTTGCTGACAAAGTGAGCTCTGCTCCTGAGCCAAGCCGAGGTTGTAGAGAGGTGGGGGGTGGTCTCTTCTCAGTTACAACTAACAGGACAAGAGGAAATGACATCAAGTTATGCCAGAGGAGGTTTAGGTTAGACATTAGGAAGAACTTCTACACTGAAAGGGTTATCAAAGACTGGAACAGGCTGCTCAGGGAAGTGGTTGAATCTCCATCCTTAGATGTATTTAAAAGCTGTCCAGATATGGTGCTCAGGGACATGGTTTAGAAGTAGACCTGGCAGAGTTAGATAATGCTTGGGCTTGATGATCTTGAATGTCTCTTCCAACCATAATGATTCTATGATTTTTTGAATATGCAAGGTATAATGTGTTTGTGCAGCTACTTTTGTGTCAATCTATTTTGAGGACAAGCCTTAGAAATACAAACAAAAAGTATGCCCATACACACAATGACATATAGATCGAGATATCTAGTTATCTATATATCTAGATAGATATATAAAATTGACCTCCCTCTTCTTCCATTGCCGAAGATGAGAAGGCAAAATAAGAAAGCAGTGCAATTTCACTTTTTATAACTGCAGTGATTAGAAACAGAGGAGATCTCTGGCATGTAAAGAGAGCATGTTGGCAAAAAACATAAATCCTGAGGGGAACCTTGCACTGTAGGGGCTTGTGGTTTCCCTGAGGGCAGGAGAAGGCTGTGTTAGGTGCTCTGCTCGCCTTGACCCTTTTAAGACTTTTTAGCAGCAAAAGTTCTTCTCAGCAGGAGTTAACCTACAAGCAAAGGGAATACCCAAGAGAAGTTATGCATTTAGAAAACGTGATAAAACTTGTTGGATGCTGTGGAAGAAAAGGGCATTTTTACAAATGGGCATTGTTCTGGGAAGGTCAGGATTCCCCTACCAACTGTCACTTCATCCTAAACTGCCTGTGTTGCTTCTGTGATCAAAGTTCTGTCTTTCTCCTAGGTATTTCTCTTATAGCAATAATGCCATCTTCTTTTACATTTACTGCTAGCAGTACCACAAACCAGCATCCTGTTTGCCTTCTTTATTGCAGCTGCATACGGGGCAGAAGGCTTTAGGGACTTTCATGCAATAATTCCCAAAACTTTTTCCCGTAAGTATACTGCAAACTCAGCTCACTACAAAGCATTTCCATCTAGTTCCTACTTCTATGATTTTTTGTTTGTGTCATCTCACTTCTCAGTAGTGTATGTTTGTCTGCACACACAATCAAAGGGCTTAAGTAGTCTCATCTTTTTGCTTTGTTCACATGTATTTTGTTTTAACATATAAACCTACTTCAAAAGCCACCTTCTCCAAATCCCTGGCAGACAAGGAGCCTGTATTGTTTTGAATAGTTATAGTTCCATTGAAATTATTATTCTTCTAATTATGAGAAAAAAATGGTGTATGAATTATTTAGCCCACTAAATTTGCAAAATAGTGTAGATCACTTCTGTTTAGCAAGTCATACCACCTTTATAAACTTCTGTTTGATTATTGATTTTTTTTCCATAGCTCTAAATTACTCGTCTTTGGGGGGCACACATTTTAAAGAAAAAACTGCCATTTATTATGTACACTCCTTCCGTTTTGCATATGATTTCTGTTAAAAATGCAATATTTGAAAAATAGTTTAAAATCCTAGATTGGTAGACTTTTTAAAACGTGTCCAGTTGAGCAGCGTTCAGAAATGTAAACACTTTTATGCTCAGCGTGTTTCCCGGTAGAGTTTTGAGTCAGATACTCGTGTCAGTCACGTTCGTTCAGTCTTCCTGGGACGCCTGCAAGGTTGCAGGATGTAGCAGAGAAGAGTTTGTCAAACCTTTTCCTTTCCAATTAATGTCAAGCTCTTTCAGATGTAGAGTTAATTATTGCCCATGGCTTAATTAGGTCATTGCTACACCACCACTTATGACCAAGACTGCCATGAATCTACCATTCCACAATAGGAAAAGAGCTGGTCTATTGGGTGAAATAGACCCCTCAGCTATCCACTGAAGTAAATGCTCTCCTCTTTGAGGTGGAGTGAGTTGAAGTAAGAGGTTTTTCATGGAAAGGAAAGTAAGATTTGGGGCAGTGAAATTGTCTTTTTCAGCCTAATGATGAACTTTTGGTTTTTTTCACCAAAATCCTCAGGTTAGAAAAGAGGGAAATAACTGTAAAGACAATTTATTCTGCACAAAGCATCATACAGGCCTTTGGAGAGAAGAGCAATGAATACTGGCACTAACTGACCTGAGCCTTGGCCCTTTTCCATCAAGTTTAGATTTGCTCTGTTACATCGGATTAAATTTACCAACCTACCTGTTACCACATGTAGTGAAGCTATGCCAAATTTATACCTGACTTTTTCTTTTAGCTGCAAATTTTTGTCCCTATGGGATTATAACACAAAGGACTTACCCAATAAAGTCAAAACAGTTTCCCTGCCCACCTTTCTTGATTCAACTGGTTTTTAATAGTAGCTCGTGGCTGTAGAGATCTTCTCCTCTCCCTCAGCAATCATAATCCTGCTCTCCTAAAAACATAATTGTCACTCCTATAATTTCCTGTAATGCTAGTTCTTGCTCTTAAATTCGTCCTTCCATCCTTCCCCACCCTGGTTTCTTTATCAGTGTTTTTACTCTTTGTTTTCCCATTGTCCTTGCCTACCATAGGACTGCAAACTACATATCGGATTCAGTACAGCCCTTGGGAACTTTCTGCCAACTGGAGAATGTTGCGTTCTCACTTCATTTTCATCTATTGTCTTTGTCGAGTTATTTACTTTCACTAATGTTTTGGACAAAGCTGCGTGAAGCGAAATCATTTAAAGTTTCATTCCAATTAGCCTGAACTGTCAAAATGAACATTATAAATGCAAAAATCTCAGAGTGACCTAGGAATAGACTTGTAACGTTTGAGTTCCCAGCTCCCTGGATGCCTCATATTTGTCACACTGATATTCACTGTTCATTGCTCCGTGTGTTACAAACTCACCGCATTGCCCACAGAAATGTAGTCACTTGTAGCTTTTGTTATGTAGGTATATTGTACATGATGTTCAGAAGTTATCGTCTCCTTTGATGTGATTGTTTCTCTGCCACCGTGTTTATTCTGTAACAAAACTGAGTGGCATCCTGTATTGTTTTTTTCAGCCGGTAATATTAAAATAGAGACTCAGAGTGATGAAGAGAATGGGCGTGCCTGTGAAATGAATGGGGAAGAATGTGCGGAGGATTTACGAATGCTTGATACCTCTGGAGAGAAAATGAATGGCTCACACAATGGCCCAGGCAGCAAGGCTATGTCAGGAGTTGGAGGCATTCGACTTCCTAACGGAAAGCTAAAATGTGATATCTGTGGGATAATTTGCATCGGTCCCAATGTGCTCATGGTTCACAAGCGAAGCCACACTGGTAAGGCCTGACATAGTTTTTCCTTTAGTTGACATGAATCGGCCATGTATTAGAAACTACGACTTGTTTTCTGTATCATGCATATGTTCTCTCTTGTAAGATTATGCAGCATCAGCGGGCATTTGGAACTCGGTTGTTTTGTTATGCCATTTTGGACAGCACAAGAATTGAGATTCTTTCTTGATGGAAGTCCATCTCCTGAGCTAGAAATTGTGCAATTTGTGAAATGTTCATGAAAAGTTCAAATGTGTTTTTTTTTAAAAGTAAAGAAGTCTTGTTTAAGAAATTTCTAAAATTGCTGAAGAAGAACCCATCTGTGGCTAACTCTGAAATTGACCCAGTTCTAATGTTTCCAGTGATGCAACAAAGCTCATTATGGATCAGTGATTGGCAAAATAAAGCAGGCTGTACTGGCCGTCTTAGTAAAAAAAGAGGTCAGTGTTATGTCAAACGTTTCATGAAGCAAAACCAAGTATTGTCACTGGACTAAAAGGTTTCCACTGGGACTCTAAAAGAGACATGTAAAGATGCTGTGCTCCATGGGGATGTTTTTTCATTCTATAGTGCTGTGAATCTTCTTGCCTCCATTTTCTAATTCTAAATAGTCTCAGAGTGCAAAAAAAAAAAAGAAGAGGCTGAAAAAAAGGAAGAAATAAAAATCAGGATGAGTCTCATCTTACCCAAAATAAGCTGTCTAAGAATTAGTCTTCCAATCTAAACTCTAAGGTCATCCATAATCAAAGGAAAAGAACTGAATTATACTGCTGTGCTACACAAGTTACTTGGAAACTAAAGTATTTGGCATTTTTGCATGAATATTCAAATGAGAGAGAATTTAAAACTATGTGTAAGGTAAGGACAACCTGTCCAATGGTTAGATTCCACTTGAAGAGTCATGTTGGTGAACACATACATTCTTTCTCCTAATCCCCCCAGTCATGACTAAATGATTTCCCCAGAATTACTATGGAGTGAGTTTAGCAAAAGTTTTTCAAAGTTTAATAGAGAGGAGCCATGAAAAGACCCTGAATAGCATCCATCCCCTAAAGTCCTCACGTGTGTCATTGTAACCGTGGCTGTTCAAGCCCTGGAAATGTGCGATCAACTAGTACAGCGTGGGTTAGCCACGTTCAGTGCTGGTCATAGTTAGCAATGCCTATTTCAAAGTAGTCTTCAATTCAATATAATAAATCCCTCTTTCAGGAAAGAGCAGATAATTATCTTTAATGGAAAAGCAACAACTAGTTCTCAGAAGAGAGGCTGCAGCCTACTTCTTAAGTACAAAATGAAATGCTTCTTGGTCGATTCTTTTTTTTTTTATTTTTTAATTGAATGTTAATGTGATCATTTAAAAGTTGGTAAAATGTATATGCAAAATTACTTGGGCACGAGGCCTTTTAAACAGACCTGTGGGCTCGAAGAGGATGCTGTAGTAGTTGAAATAATATGTTGCAATTTAAAATGCATAGAGGTCTTTGTCGTTGTTTAAGGAGGCCAGTGTTTTATTAAAAGTATGCTATGGCTGCTTTGCAGGGGCTGTTTCAGGCTCCTCAGGGTCAGAGGCAGTGCTTGCACCAGGGCTGGATGTCCTGTGTGTGGACACACCTGATTTTGGTGAGGTGGTGGGCAGAGCTGTCTTTTTTTCTGGTGCACTGGCTGGGCCCCATCAGGCCGAGGCTCTGGAGGATAAGCTGGGCTGCCCGTTCCTTGCGGCAGCGTCTCAGGTTTCCCTGGTGCAGAGCTCCAGCTGCCTGAGCTCCCTGCGGGGCAGAGGGACTCCCGTGCCTGCCAAGGGTGCCCCAAGGGCCATCGCTCTGAGACTTCTCTGCCCTTTGCAGAGCCTTCCTCTTGCGAACAGGACCTTCTTTTTGATCAGGGAAAGTAGTGGAAGCAGTGAAAGCACCCCAGGAGCTGCACTTTACTCAGCAGGACCCACTTCTTTTATGCTTAATAAAAATAAGGGGTGTGAAGTTGTGCCCCTGAATCATTCCGTGGCTTTCCCTCCTGCCTCACCCTCGGCTCCTTTCCTAAGCAGTCTTATCGGGTGAGCTCAGGCAGTTTTTTGGGAGCTGGCAAGGGAGTGAAGGCTCGGAACTGGTAGTTCAAATTAAAGGGATGTCATGGGGAAACAGTGGTGACTGCTTTTCCTTTCAGCTGTGCTGTGAAAATTAAAGTAGAAATGGGATATACTATTACAGACATTTAACTGACTACACCGAGGCCCATTTCAATACATGCCCGGTGAAGGAATAAGCCTCGCAAATGAATTACTTTGCTGCTAATTCATGTAAAACCTGCATATGCAGTGAGGTTTCCTTAAATAAATATTTGATAAGTGAACAAAACTCTAGCACGCCAAAGTGCCAAAATCAAGTGACTGCCTGACCTGATAAAAGGCATAATTACTTTTAATGAATACACCTGCCAAATACAGATATGTGGAGCAGCACCTGATATTTCTGCCCCCTCATGTCTACAAGCAGCTGTACAGCACTGACTACTTCCCAGTGCCTCACCGGTTGCTCCTGTCTGCAGAGTGAATCCCACTCACAGATGCCTGACTCTCCTCGCTCTCCTTCCCTAAGGCTTTCAGAACGTTGATTTTTCTCTACCTTGCTGCTGTCTCGTTTGGTGTTTAGGAAAAAGGAGATCTAGAAAAGAGGAATGCTCTCCTACTCCCTGCTGCTGAGGCTTCAGGGTTTAGATTCAGGCTTCGTTTGTTCAGTGTGCTCATACACATGTGCATATGTACATATGTGCACATGTATGTGTGTGTAGGTATATATATCCCCTCCTTATATAGAATCACAGGATGTTCGGGGTTGGAAGGGACTTCTAGAGATCATCTAGTCCATCCCCTGCTGCCAGAGCAGGATCACCCAGAGTAGGCCACACAAGAATGTGACCAGGTGGATTTTGAAAGTCTCCAGAGAAGGAGACTCCACAACCTCTCTGGGCAGCCTGTGCCAGTGCTCCATCACGCTCACAGTAAAGAAGTTTTTCCTCATGTTCAGGTGGAACTTCCTGTGTTCTACCTTATACACATTATTCCTTGTCCTATTACTGGGCACCACCGAAAAGAGACCGTCCCTTTCTTCCTGATACCCACTCCTCAGATATTTATATACATTAAGATTACCTTTCAGCCTTCTGAACAGCTGCAGTTCTCTCAGTCTTTCTTCATACAAGAGATGTTCAAGTCCCTTGATCATCCTCATAGCTCTGTTGGACTCTCTCCAGCAGGTCCCTGTCTCTCTTGAATTGGGGAGCCTGAAACTGGACACAGTATTCCAGGTGTGGTCTCAATAGGGCAGAGCAGAGGGGAAAAAGAACCTCCCTAGACCTGCTGGACACACTTTTCCTAATGCACTCCAGAATCCCATTGGCCCTCTTGGCCGCAAGGGCACATTGCTGTCACATGGACAACTTACTGTCCATTAGGACTCCATGGTCTTTCTCCATGGGGCTGGTTTCCAGTAGGACGACACCTAATCAGTTCTGATGCCTGTTGTTATTCCTCTTTTAACTTGTCACCAGTTAGTTCACTTGTGTCTTATTAGTTGGGTCTGATTGTCTCAAATTAATTTAGAAAACTAATGCCCATTGAAGAATGAGCATTAAAAAAATGAGAATGCACATCTCTCAGTATTAGGTGATTTTGTCACTATATTTTTTAAGAGATGAGAATGTTTTCAATTAAGATGATAAATATTCTTTGCCAAATAAGTAGTCCAGTCCCACTAAGGCTTGCAAAGTGGTGGGTGATTCAGCTCAGGGTCCCATTCCAGTTCTTGTTCCTGGGCCCATATTTGTCTATAGTTACACACTGTGCAGTGAAATCCACCCAGGATAGACCTGTACTGTTCTGTTCAGAACCAGTGAGAAAATAACATGTAAAGCTGACTGGGTAAGCAAAAGATGCACTATGCTTTTTTTTTCCTGTCCTGTCCCTTCCCTGTTTTAGGGTGATCACACCAAATCCAGTAACCTTCCATCAGTGACCATCTCCATCTGAGCAGGGCTGGGATCTTTTCTGGGCTCACAATGCGGGCATTCCCCACCCCAGTCATTGCAGCACAGGCGACCAAGGGCTGGCCCAGCTACATGTAGTTGCAGGGTCTTTTGGCGATGGTGTCATTTCGCTTGTACAGCAGCGTGGGTGCAGGTTCCCGTACATTTGGTCCCACTGTAAGTTTTGTAGAAACGCTTGGTACGCAGCTGTCTCATCTGAAATGGTCCCTCCATCTGTCTTCTCCACTCAGTGCAAGATTTCACCCTGTGATTGTGAGAGCTATAGGCTGGAGATATATTTCATTCTCACTTTACTTTCTATTTCATTCCTGGAGTACTTTTACAATCCTCATATTTCTCCTCTTAGGCTCCTCTGAGTAAAAATCACAGAAATGAATGCTAGAAAAGCTGTTTAGTAAGAATTAGCCATTTCTTCTGAATTTGTGTCCCCTATGACAAATTTGCTTCTTCATTACTTTCAATCCACTTCTGAAAAATCACCTTCCATGCTGAGTAACTGGCCCAAGAGGTGGAGCAGACAGACTCTTACACATTTCTTTTTTTTTATCTAACAACTACTGTACATGGCATTATGAAGTACATTGCAAAATCCCTTAGGGCTAACGCTGGCCTTTTTGTGGGCCCCCCGTGTTGAACTCAGCCACTGTATTCATCTGTGGTATTCAACCATCGTTCAGACTGATACAGCTACTTGACAGACAAAGAAAGTGGGCTCATTTTGCTTGAGAGGGACTATACTGACCTGCTGGAAACTCTTTGACCAGCAAAAATATCTGGCCATAAAGTAGATTCATTTTACTGTTTGCTGAATGCTAAAGCTGCCAGCCCTGATGGTAGAGTCAGCAGAACTTTGAGTTGGGACTGTGCTGCTGCCTAATTGATTTTCAGCTGTTCTACTGTGTTACCCAAAAGTCAAATACTATCATGCTGCACATATATGCACATGTATGAACATACAAGTTGGTCCTAGATGTGCAAAATAATACATGATGGTTAAGGGAGAGAGAAGAAATAAATTGTTCAGCTTGTATTTGGTTGTGGGGTTTTTTTACATAGTAACTTCAGCACTGAATTTTTAAATTCAGTATTATCCTTATATAAAGAAAATCAGAACTAAGAAAATGCCATCTCTGGGCTGTTTTTAACATTGATGATGCAGAATTACTATAGCAGATAACATTTATGCCTAAGAGAAACAGAATTCAGCAAGTGAATTTCAAAAGCTGGTTTGACTTAGTCAAGGGCTGCAGAGAAATGGGCATGCAGGAGCAGTTCCTGCTCATGGGACCTCATCTATCTTAATGTTTTTTTTATAGCCTGGAGAATAAATGAGCAACATTGATTTTGAACAGCACTAAGAAGCAAACAACAGCCGTATTAATTTTTACAAAGGCTAGTTGATTGGCTTCCTTGATAACAGGTACCAGTTTAGACTAATCGAGGCCGTGTCTCTTCAGGTTTTGCCCTGTGTCCCTCCAAAGTGGCGACCAACAGAGACATTAAGTGCAGCTCCTCTCTTCATACCTTAGCCAGAGAAGGGCTGGGACTTTGGCATGGAAGTGTGGGGCTTCCTTTGCACTGTCTTAACTTATGTGATTTTTACTCTCTCTCTTTCTGTCTCTGTCTCTTTCCTGATTTGGCTGCTTAGGGACAGACAGGTAATGGAGAAGAAATTGAAAGGGAAAATACAGGGAAAATGTAAATGAAAAGAAGTTATTATAACTGTTATAATGAAGTGCCTTTCATTTAAATATAAGAATGTAACGCTGAAATGAACTTGTGATCCTGAAATGCATTTTTAATGAGTTTCCTTTTTATTTTGCTGCTTCAGTGGCATATTTTAAAGACCCTTTGAAAAAAGCCACATTAAAAACCCCACCAAATGCCACAACATGCAAAATTGGATATTGGTTTATTCCAAAACTGCTGATCAGGAAGAGTGGCTCTTCAACACAAAATGTTGCAGTCACTTTATTTAAATGAGTTTGAATTTGCATTGTGATGTGCCATTCTGATTTAGAAAAAAAAAATTAGATTTTCAGATCAAATTGACCCAGCCAGTGAAGCATTAAGAAACTGGCAGGTTTAGTCTGAAAGCCTCATGTTATATCAAACCTGCAGCCGGTGGAAGTCACAGAGCAGCAGTGAGAAAACAACTTTCTCACTGAAATCTTTCTCTTGTTACCGCGTAAGATTTTTTTTTTTTTTTTTTTGTTCTCACACATTTTCTCCATCTCCCCGCAGGAGAACGCCCTTTCCAGTGCAATCAGTGTGGTGCCTCCTTTACACAGAAGGGCAACCTTCTGCGCCACATAAAGTTGCACTCAGGTGAAAAGCCCTTCAAGTGTCACCTGTGTAACTACGCCTGCCGCCGCAGGGATGCCCTCACGGGACACCTGAGGACTCACTCGGGTAAGTGGAGGTGTGGGGCTGTCCAGGGGTGCTCCCCATTGAGGACACAGGGGCATTGGTGGCAACTGAGCCTGAGAGGTTTTCTCACCCTGGAGCGAGCGGGCTGCACTGAAATGACTAAACACGTCTCACGCTCATGATCCTTCAGCAGAACTGTTTCTTTCCCATACTTCTTGGCTGATTAGAAGTTTCTATATTAGGGTTTCATCTTACAAGCCTCATGTGAGTAATCTGTTCCATGGAACTGCAAACATGAGTTCAAGCTGATAAATGTTTTAGGGTTTGAATGGCATTTATCAACATGTAGAGATAATATAAGGCCTAAACACAGCAAGTTCTAACTCACAAAGTCTCAAAAACCTCCAACCTGGTAGTCATTCTCCATCTAAGGAGTGAATACCACCTACAGTATTTAGCAACAATTATTTGTTGCACCTTGTTATTACAAATACTTTGAAAGAGAAAGGATGGTGAGGACAGAGAGGGTGAGGAAGCGAAAGATAATAATCTTCAAAAAAAAGAGGAGTTTGATGGAGTTTTTCAGTGTTTTATCTCAACAGTAATATGGAGATCTGAATATTTTTGAATAGCCGCACTTTTGCATTACCACAAACTTCTCATTGTATGACAGAACCCATAGTCACACACCTTCTGCGAAGCAAAACCAACTCAGCACCTTTATCACACACCTTCTGCGAAGCAAAACCAACTCAGCACCTTTAAAGTGCCTTTAAAAGCAGAGCGTTGTCTCATCTGGTTTCCTAAGCTAAGCTGGAAAATCAAATTGTTACTCACTGCTGGAAGTCGCGCTGGTAACTGAACTTGCGGAAGTTTTCTCCGGGACCAAGTTCTGGACGGCAGAAGAGGAGCTCTCAAAGTGACATTTTTTGCATTGCACAAAACTAAGGAAATCCTTCTCTAGCCCATGCATTAAATTATAAGATCCTCAGTGTTGTTCCCAGATGTTCAAAGTAATTTCCACTTCTCCTGTTTGTTCCTGGCCCAATTCAGGCAAGTGGATGTTTAAAAACCGATTTTGCTTCCCTCTCCCTTGCTACTACTAATTTTCATGGCTGCACAGTCTTAAACATAATTTTACATATACACATGAAACTACACCTAGACACTTTTGGCAAACTCTGAGAATTCTGTAGCTAAAGAGACAATGCATAAACTATAGATATTGAATAGTTCCTTTGATTGGCAAATTGACACCAATGTATTATAAAACAAGTTGGAAGTCTGAGTAATTTCCACCTGAGAATCTGCGAATAAAATTCAGAAGAAAAGCTGTGTAACCATCTGAAATTGTGAAATTGTATATAACATGAAAGTCTTGTCACACTAAGACAGAAAATTCAGGTCTGGAAGTCCACGAAGTGGTATTGTTACTGCAAAATTCACAGAAATACCTAAATCTGGATTGGTGTCATACAGACAAAGAATTGTCATGCCATCTCTCCTGAATTTCCAGGAGCAGAAAACATGTGAAATCTCTTACTGTCCTAAAAGAGTTGAGCTGACTCTGGTTACATCAGGACTGTGACCCAGCTGGGTGGGTGTCTGTTCCTGCACCACCAGTTCCCACCTTGGCAGCCTCTGTGGGAGTGAGGAGCTAAAGAGCTACGCTCAGACCTTTGAAGGTGTGTCAGTTTCTAAGTTGTGTAGATGCCGTTTTGAAGATTTAATGTTGCGGTCCTTATCTGATGTGAATCATCTGAAATCAGCACCTGCAGAATTGGCCTGTGGATGTAAAGATACACAACTAGTTTCCATTAGTTTCATGTTTGGTATTTTAAATCGACAAAATCTTTCTTCAGTTCACCACAGCATAGGGTTATTTTGGGTGGGCTTTTTTTCTTGTCCTCCTTACCATTATTAGCATGTTGTTGAATACCTTGTCTGAATCTTTCAGTTAATTGTGTTTCTTGCAGTTGGCAAACCTCATAAGTGTGGATACTGTGGTCGCAGCTATAAGCAGCGCAGCTCTTTGGAAGAACATAAAGAACGCTGTCACAACTACCTGCAAACCATGAATATCCCAAGCAGCCTTTATTCAGGTAATAAATGTGTCCATTTGGGGATTAATACTGTCGTGTCACATATGCAAAAGGAGCAGTAGTACCACTTGTGGCATCTTTTGCATTGGGAGGCACCCCTCACACACCTCATATGTATGATATTATAGCTGGATTTACTCTAGACTTAATAAATATTTGGCTGTTGTCTCACTTTGTTGAGCTCAAACAAAAATCAAAGTAAAACTCAGGCAAAACACTTGCAAGACCTGGAAAACTTCAGCTCACCGTCTCAAGACAGTATGACTACATCATCTCATCACCTTCCCCTTTTGCTTAAAGTCCTGTATCACAGTACTCTTGTGGATGTATTCTTAAGAAAGACTTAATAACAGTGTTCTAGGTAGGGCTGCAGAATCTTCTGCATGGCAAAACCCCTGCCCTTCCCAGGCACACCTTAAGGGGAGGCTTACTTGACGGCTGGAACCAACTCACCTAAGAAAGATGAGCCATCTGTCTTTTATTTCACACTTTCAAGCAAAAGGATGTGAAGCCAGAGGCATTTAATTTAGCCAGTTGGACTGAGAGAGTCCAGAAAGATTAATAATTTGTTGACAGACTTCTTCCCAACCTCCTTTTTAGAAGAAAACTGCTGAGAGGTGAGGAGCCGTTATGCTTCTGTGAGAGACCAGTCTTATGATGAAGTTAAAGACCATTTCTTGGAGAATATCAAATCTAAAACTGTGCCCAGAAATAGTGAAAGCAGATACTGGGATTTGGGTGGGTTTTTTTAACAAAGATCCAAAAGATCCTGTGGGATCAATTGCAGTAAATAACCATACAAAATCCCCTTGCATATGCAGTTTTAGATAAAGAATATGAGATTCAGCTTCTGTGGTGGAGTTTGAGCCCATCCAGTTAGTTACATTTCTTGCACATCGTCTTGGTCCTGTCAGTATATGCTATTTGGTTTGTCACATGACAAAAATGGAAGGTTCTGTCTGACCTGTTGGCAGTGATGCCTCATTTAATATTTTATATCTGGACAGAACCTGAATATGTTTTTACATGCTATCAAATAATGTAAAGTATATGCACATAATGATAGTAGTGAATACAGCTGAGATGCTTTTAGCAGACAGCACATTAGAGCAGCGCCCCTTCTAATTTTATCGAGGGGCTGGAGAATGTATAAATAAAGCTCAATGTAATATATGGTAGGCAGCAACACTTATTCCTCAAAGAGGTGATAGGGTTTAGAAGCAAATATTCTGTCTTGGCATTTGAATTTTCAGTGTCTGACACATGGATTTGAATACCTGCATGCTGAACATGAAAATCTGTGTGAATGAGTAGCTGAACTACAACTAAAGTCTTAGTAAGCAAAAACGTCCAGATGAAACTGGTGTTGGGAATCATAAACTTTAGAAGAAACACTACCATTTTGGAGATGGACCTTTGTTTATAGCAAGACATGACAGGGGAATTTACATTAGCTTAGGACTGAATATCTAATATCTCAGTGGGATGAAAACCTGGAGAATTCAGGAACTCTTTGGAAGAATTACTTCTTCCTTTTGTATACTGAAAGTATCATTGAAATCCATATTTTATATAATATGGATTTGATATATATTTTCAAATCCCAAAAAAAAAAAGAGGATTAACTTTGAGGTTTAGACCTTGTATACAGCCAAAGACTTCAATCTTAAAAAATGTTGTACTCAGTTAATGAATCAATTCTTTAAATTTCAAAAAAATTACACTTTCTTGCATTTTTCCTAGTATATTGCATTCTAATCTAGTTCACTGTAAACATGTTTACATTATTTCCCTTCTAAAGTAAATGATTAAAATGTACGGTGAAATAGCTGAGAACAAGTGTGTGGCCTTCTGGGATTTTTAGTGCGTTCTACTTTATATCTAGAAAAGCCAGTAGCTAGCGCTATTCTTATATTATTTCACGGTGTGATGTGAAGCTATTAGAGCCATAATTCAGGCCTTTTTTCTTTCTTTTTTCCCAAACTCTAAAATTTTAGCACAAAAATCTGCTACTGTATCTGATTTGACATTCTGCTACAGCAGGATTTCTTTTTCCAGCATTTTTAAAATACTTTGTTCAATGTACTAAAATGTCAGTCGAAAGGACCAGAACTGCTAGAAACTTTCCATCAGCTTGTAAAACTAAAAAATATAATTAACAAAGTGCTTAAATAAGGGAAAGATCCAACAAAGAGGAGTAAGGAGGGGAACACAAGACTGTATGTATATTTTAAGTTTTGTTTGCTTTCCTTAAGAGAAGAAAAAAGAAAACTGCTAACTTGAATGAGAAACTTCTTATTTTAGAGGACTAGAATCTCTCTGTCTATGTGATGCTCTGCTCTTAGAGATATTATTTGGAGTTTTGCATTTGAATTGGGTGGAAGTGTGCTGAAGCACACCAGGCCTGTATAAAATAAGAGAAGAAATAGTTTATGAAGTCTAAAAAGGGTCAATTACAATCCTTCAGTCATGTGTGGATTTTCATTTGGAGAGCCTTAGCCAGCACAGGATGACGGTGTGTGCTTGTTCACTGATGACTAGGTACCATTGATACCCTTTACTCTTCTGCACCTTCATGATGTTAACTCTGCTGATATATTGCATTGATCACAGTCTTCAGCATCTTGTGGGGCTGGGGTGAAATTCCGTGAGCCTCACTGTCACTGTCACTGCCACTGTAGTATGTGCTGCCCCAGCAGGGACTCAGCAGCCGGCTGTGTACTCTCCAGTTTGGTACTGCAGAGTGTTGCTGTCTAGGACACTTCATCTTCTCCTTCGTTGTCTGCCAGACCCTGATTTTGCATCTTTCAGGAACAATGGAACTTTCACAGTCATCCTCTTATGGCAGTGGTATATTGCCAGAATAACATTGCGTAGGAACGGTGTGTTCTCAGCTATTGAGAAACACCCAGGTACCAGAGTAATGGGTTTTGTTAACCAGCAAATCTAGCGATAAAACAAATTCTCAGCAGGCACAGAAGGCAAAATGTAGTGCAGTGGTGCACCTAATTGAAATAGCTTGCAGAATCAGAGTCTAAAAATCATCTTCTGCTTCTCCTTTTAATTGCAACTCAGAAGTTCAGGAGAAATGTCCATACCCTAGTAACAGGTAAAAAAGTAAAATTACCCTCTCCTCTCCTGTGTCTGACCTCCCTTGCCAAAAAAACAAAAAACAAAAAAACACCAGTTGTGTTGTGCCCATCACCTTTCCTTTAGATGTTGAAAGTCAGAAATGCCTTTCCATACATTTTTCATAGTCATTGTTTTGACAGTGCATTTTCATACATCCCTTCTGTTTCTGCAGGAAAGTACTGAAGCAAAACATAGTGAAAGTAAAACAGTCCTCCCTTTCCTAGAGCCTCACAGCTAAGCTGCTTTCTAATTCTACAGTGTGTCAGCAGCAGCAGGAGGCTGGGAAACAGGTTTGAGTATTGGAAATAAGTGCTTGACTATAGATGTGACTTCAGCAACTTAAACTGCCATTTAAATTCTAAAATTGCATCAGGGAAGTATAGAAATATTTATGAAGAAAAAAAAAGGGTGGGGAGAGTGGCTGATGTGGCTTATGAATACATCTTCCACTGCTGGATTGGAGAAGTTTGTCCATTTTTTCCTGCTAGAGAAGCAAGGATCATACAGGTAGTTCCACTGAGGGAGGTGCAGAGGGGTGACAGAGGTTGGTGGGTTACAGTGAGAGGGTGAAAAGATGAACGCTTCGTCTCCAGTACAGTTCTAGGACCTCATTTACCCATGGAAATGCAGAGAGCCTGTAGAACAAGGGTGGAGGGATTACACTGCATACCAGCAGGCGCCTTGCAGTTGCAATCTCAGTTTTGTATCCTGAATGAGGGAAATAGGAGCATGTACTCAGATTGATCAGCATGAGGGACTTTGCTACCAAGAGTCAGAGTCATCCCGTGTCTGCAGGGGTGAGCTGCTCCTTCCAGCTGGTTGGGAGCTAAAAGACGTTAGCTGAGAAACCATAACCTGAAGACAATAGTTCCATTAAAATGGAACAAGCGTGCCTAACTCTTCTGATGTCATTTGATTTCAGTCATAAAAGAGGAAACTAACCAGAGTGAAATGGCTGAAGACCTGTGCAAGATAGGGTCAGAAAGATCCCTCGTGCTGGATAGACTAGCAAGTAACGTCGCCAAACGTAAGAGCTCTATGCCTCAGAAATTTGTTGGTAAGAGTTAAACGTTTGCTGTCTCCTAAAAAATAAAATTAAACAAAATCCAGAAAGCACCTCACAGGATTTTTACTTTTGCTTTATGATTTTACTTGTATTACTAAATTAGCAATATCTATCTCTATAAAGCAGATACAGTGATGTATTGGGAAAAAAAACCAAAAACCAAAACAACAGCAAGCAAATTGCTCCAGCATACATTTCTGCATGTTTAATATTATACACCTGGAGAGCAATTTTAATTCTTTTTCATGCTTATGAACCAGATCATTATAAGATCTGGGCAGGCTCTTAAAGTTGCCTTCAGAACGTGAAGATAGGAATAGAAGTTTCCGGCTAGGAAAGAATCTGGCCGCAGAACTTCTTGGATGGCATCCAAATCTGGGCATATTGGTGTTTGTGAAAGCTTTTGTGAATAGTTGAGCAGAGCTGGATAATATTCTTCACCTCTTCAGAAAGTCTGCATACTTTTACAGCCCTAAATGATCATGGAAATAAATAAACCTCAGTCTGAGAATACTACCTAGATGAAAAGATCTCTGGGTACATTCTATAAATGATGCAAAAACTTCATGCCCATTCGCACCTAAATATTTTTTGTCTTAACAGTGAAAAAATGGAGGCTACACATATAAAAATGGAGCCTGTCCCAAATGGTGGTTTCATCAGTTTTGTAATAGGCCACAGACAATATTTTGTCAGCTATGTATAGTTAGTCTTAAATGAATAAAAATGTACAGCATATACTCATATCTAGTTAGATTCTAATTCTCTGCACATAATTATAATATTTTTCTGTAGGAGACAATCAGAGAACACTGAAGTCTTTGAAACTAAACACATATTAAGAAGGTGTTCAGTCAAAAGTCAAAGCAAAAAAAAAGACCCATTTATGGGACAGAAATTCCATATACACCTTCTTCAATGAGGATACAAGGGTGAAAGGAAAGTCAGTATTTCTGAGACAAGGAAATAGGAATCTCAGCTACGACAGAGGCACAGCAAAAGATTTGACATTAAGGTGCAAGATTGTTTTCAAGTCCAAAGGCAACAATACCAAGAGGTAGCGAAGGATAAGAAATGCTTACGCATATAAAAGGACAAAAATTGTAGTAGAGGCAGTTACCAAAAATACATCAACTATGTGAGGCAAACCTGATTTGTTTAGACGCTGTAGTAACTGATTGCATTAGGGAAAAGAGTAATTCTGTGAAAGATCCAGGAAGACCAGAAGTGTTAAAAATTAAAAGGTACTAGCAAGTATCCTATATGCAATATATCCATAGGTGTGGACTAGGTTTTTTTGTTCTTTTCTCTCTTCACCCTGAGAAACAGTAAAGGCAGACAGTTTAACTATGAATTTTAGGAGGGCAGAGTCTCCTATCAGTTATTCAGGGTGCGGTGTAGGAAGACAACCTACTGACAGCTGATAGTTATGGAAATTTGCTAACCTTTAAAAGGATGATCTTTTCCGACAAGTAAATGCCCTCAAATCCTTTCCTTTCCAATCCTCACCTGATGCTTAATTTACTAGTTACATTACTGATTAACACAAGGTTGGGCCGGCTGGTCAGGAGAGCTTTTAGCTAATAAACCATGTTTATTACTCCTGTAGATTACTGTGTCAACCCAATACCTGTGCTGAATTGCAGGGAGAAGGAGCAAATGGCACCCTTCACACAAGGGAAAGGCTGTCTGCTCCTTCAATCATTTTTTCTCAAGGCTAAATTCATTACCTTTCAAAAGTGAGATTGCTCACCAAATTAAGGCAGTTCTCTCTAAAATTCTCTCTGTATTCCAAACTGGAACATCTCCCAGACCTGAAAGAACTGAGCCATCTGAACTAGAGAGTGGAAACTGCAGGCAAGGTTGACACATACTTATCCTGTTAAAACAATAGGAAGCAAAGAAAATACAGGGGTTAAAAACCAAAACAAAACAAAAAGGTAAAACAAAAAAAAAGAAAATAGTATCACATGCACTGAGTGCATTTTTGCTTCTTAGGTACCTGCTGCAGAACTCTGAGTAGTGTAAAGCTTGAAGTGCATCAAACCATTAGTGGTTTAATTTACTTATGCTCTAATAACCACAGAAATGAGCTCTTATTTTTAATGAGTGCAAGTATTACCTGCATTGCCCAGAAACAAAAATGATACCTGCCTGCCTCAAGTTTGTGTCTGTTCCAGACACTCTGCTTGGAAGCAATTTTTTCTAAGGAGCACTTGATCCTCTCAGTGCAACTACCAACTAGTTATGCTACATAAAGCAAATACTACCCAAGAAATAGCTATTAAAGTAATGCCTTCTGGACACCCAAATTTTATGTATAATGACAACTAGCCCTGCTTTTGAGTGGTATATACTGCCCATGGAATATAAACGATTTTGACCTAATTTTTTTTCAAGGGTATATATTCATATTAGTGGAGGTTTTTTCTGTAGTTAATTGAAGAGTCTTTCACAACGCCTATTTGGAATCTTAAGCCTCAAGCTCTGCCTGAAAACTGGAACATTAGAAAGGGTAAATCTGGAAGAAAAAAAGAATGCACCCCAGTAGAGAGGTTCTCAAATTGTCAGAATAAAACAGAAAGGAAACAAGAGGAAGCGGAAGTTTGTGCAGCACATCTAGAAGGTGTCTGTACCCTATCTTCCTTGTAGGAACTTGCACAATGTTCCCTGTATTTCTTCCTCTGCTTGCAGAGTGTGGACAAAACAGCATGAAACCCTACCTTGTGGGAAACGCAGACAACGGGGCTTCCTACACTTTAGCCCCCTCGCTGCCATAGTGTCGTGCTGGAAGTTTTCTGAGCTCTTCATTGATGTCAGATAGTCAAGTGCAGTAGAAAGTAGGTAGGAAGTTCCTGACCAATTAATTTGTGGATCTTTTCCATGCTCCTGTTAGCACTTCTTTTAGACAAATCAGCCCTTTCCAAGGCCTCCCAGCAAATGCCATGTTGATTAGGAAATGGTGACAGAACCTCATAGAGATGTTTGTGGCTTTCAGTTAACTTCCCAAGATCTGCAGAGCTAAAAAATCCATCTGGACTGTAAACAATGTGTTATTGGTAGTTCCTAGGAACCTGTGGGAATTTTTTACCCCCTTGCATTTGCACAGATTTATAAGGGACCTGATAACAACGTTGATGATTTACACTGTTTGAGAAGACTGTGCAGGTTCATAAAAATCAGCATCTGTGAATTTAAATAGTTTCTCCTATGCCTAACTTTTACCTGCTATGTTTTCCTTAGTCTTATCTGCCCAGGAATTTTGAGAAATTGCAGTGAAACTACATTCAATCCTAGGGTATCCAGCTAGAGATACATTAGTGCAGCATGATTTTTAAAAACGCCAGAGTGCCCCCCTTACTTTTGGCATCCCAAATCAGGGTCAAAGTTACAAGTAACAAGTAAACTTCCTCCCTGTAGGGCTTTTTACCTCATAAGGAAAGTATATTCCAACTACTTAATCTTTTTTTCTTGATTCTTGTCTGCTCCCGTAGAGGATAACTATTTGACATAAAATTTCTAGGAACACAAGTAGCTTTAGGTGATATGTCTTAACATGGCTTATTTTAAAAAAAACAAAGTGTGGGGGGAAGGTGGCAATATGAAAAGCTAAGTTTTTGTTGATTTTTCTCTGATGACCATATTGCCAATGTAGGTTATTTGTAACAGACTGAAAGTCTAAAACTAAAACATACAATTTGCAGTCCACAACTGTAATATTTTAGGGGAAAATATTGATAATGTGCTTTGTGCTCACTGTAAGTGTGCTGGTGCACTTCACTAATCACAAAGGCATGCCTCAGCTCCCTGAGTGAGGCAGATGAGTCCAGCTAGAAAGGAGAGAGGATGAAGCTCTCAATCCGTAACTCCCATGAGTCCCTGTATAATTATTTTTGGAATCTGTTTATATCCATTTGCTTTTCCGAAGACCTCAAATCATTTTGCATGTTTAAAAAACAAACAAACAAGCAACCATTTTTTCTGACCAGCTATATTAGAGAACTATGAATACCTTCGGTGAATTTCAGAGGTGGATTTGATCGACTCTTCTCTTTAATTATATGGTTTCATTAATCCGTGACGTTTGGTCCCTTGATTATGTAGAAATCAACCCTCTAACTCCTGACTGTTTTTCACCGCAGGTGAGAAGTGTCTGCCTGACCTTCCGTATGATGCCACCACCAACTATGAGAAGGAGAATGAGATAATGCAGACGCACGTTATAGACCAGGCCATTAATAACGCCATCAGTTACCTGGGGGCAGAGTCCTTGCGTCCCCTTGTCCAGACACCACCAGTTGGTTCTGAGGTGGTGCCTGTCATCAGCCCCATATATCAGCTCCACAAACCTCTTGGGGACAATCAGGCTCGCTCCAACCATACAGCTCAGGACAGCGCAGTGGAAAACTTGTTGCTGCTTTCCAAAGCCAAATCTGTCTCCTCCGAACGAGATGCTTCTCCCAGCAACAGCTGCCAAGACTCAACAGATACAGAGAGCAATAACGAGGAACGCAGTGGTTTGATTTACCTGACAAACCACATAGGTCCCCATGCAAGAAATGGCATCTCTATAAAAGAAGAAAACAGGCAATATGATGTCTTGAGGGCAGGTACTGACAATTGCCAGGATGCTTTCAAAGTCATCAGCAGCAATGGGGAGCAAGTGAAAGTTTACAAGTGCGAACACTGTCGAGTCCTTTTCTTGGATCACGTGATGTATACGATCCATATGGGCTGCCACGGGTTCCGCGATCCTTTTGAATGCAACATGTGTGGCTACCATAGCCAGGACAGGTACGAATTCTCCTCCCACATAACTCGAGGGGAGCACCGTTTCCACATGAGTTAAAACTCCACCAGCACAGATCTCGCCTCAACAGCTGCGTTACTGGAGCTGTACTAGCCATGACAGCAACAAAGCACAAGTCAGCTGAACAGCAGAAGTAACAAGAGAATCAAAAGTTCAGCTATCTTCTCCCACAAGAAAAGATTTTTTTTTTCCTTTTGGTAGCATGCATTGAAACTCAGTTTTCTAAAATGAGTACTAAAGTTTTTACTGAAAATATTTGATCACCAAAAACCTTTAGTAAGTAGGAGCTTTTGTAGTCACGTAGCTGAAAGCCCTTCTCTTAACTGATGCTTCTTGCAAACCGCCCTTGCCAAAACTGTTAACCGCACGCAGGATGCACCACGTGGACGGGGACACATCAGACAGGAGTGGCCAAGCTTTCTCTCTTAACACCCTGAGCATAGGGATCTTCCACCAGATGTATGTTTTCTTTGACTTCCTGGTATTATTTGACTCCTTTGGGAAGACTAAACTCAACTAACAATGGAGGGGCCCATCTCAGATGACTTCAGAGACAGCTGGGGTGGGGTGAGGACCCCCCAGCCAGAGCGTTCTCAGTTGCATTGGCCGTAAAAAAGTAAAATGTTTTCACCTGCAAGGGTGCTGCTGGTATTGACATCACAGTGGGCCTTGTTTGTGTCCCTAGGCAGGCGAGCAGGTATGTGAAAAATAGAAGAAACACCCTTGTAATGTACTCTGTGAAGTATGAATTGCATTTAATGTATAGAAAAAGGGTATTGTTGGCTCTTCTTTGAATAAATGTTTTCTCTCCCTATCCAATAAACCCCCACTTTTCATTAAGCAACCCTTCTCTCTCTGCACAAACAAGTTACAATGTATTTAATTTTTCCTTCATTTTTAAGTTTTAGTTATTTAGAAAAGTATGATGTACAGTTGAGAAAAGCACTAGCTAGAAATATGTGTGGGAAAAGTCTCGTTATGCACATTTTTTGTCTTTCTAAACTGTCTGGGAAAGATCCAAATGTCCCGCTCTTATATATGAAAAAAAAATCCCATTTTGCTTGCACAGAAGATGTCCTCTAGTAGATTCTGTGGCCCTACTCATAAATACTGCATTTAATTATTTTTAAAGAACTGAGCAGAATTAAACAAGCCAGTCAAAATCTGTAGCCGCCTTTTTTCCGGGCACTTGATGTTCAGTGTAGGACCAAGCACTGCAAATGTGCTGAGAACCCCTGCTTCCTATTCAACAAATCATTCACTGTGTGCTTTGAGTTACGTTTACTTTAGTGGAACTAATCTTAAGGTTAACAAAGTGGTGTTTTGCTGAATGGGCATGAGAGACTACAGCACTCTGCAGAGCAAAGTCCACTGAGAGCTTTCTCTTTGACAGGTTCTGCTGCAGATACTGCAACTTCAGTTAGAGTAAAAACTTCTATGATTAATAGATTTTAACTCCAAAGCACAGCTGATTTTTTTTTAAAAAAAAAGAAAACCAGCTTTTTTAAAAACTTCTACTTAACTTCCTCTTACAAATAGTTCATTCCTCTCCCTGAACCCCCTTGTACTTTAAGATTGGGCCAAAAAAAAGAAAATTTTGCAGCTGCACAGAAATCTGTCATCGGTGCTGCAATACTTCCTGGGCAACATCTTAAAAATAACCCATCTTATTAGCTTAATGCATAAATAGTTCTGCTCTGCGTAATAAATGGATACTCTGCAATAAACACAATTGTATAACCCACAGGACTAGCAGTCTTGCCATACAGTTATACATTCTCCATTCACAAGTGCATGCAAGCACACGTATCTATTATAAAAGAGATTCGATGGAACCTTAAATACTTGTACCTAGGCCAGTTTGGCCTGATACGCATGGCTATATCTGATAGACATTTCCTATATATACACATACTATTGCAGGCATGCGGAGTTCCTTCTTCTGCTTTCACTTTTGCAGGTGTAAGTCGGGAGCAACAACACTGAAGTTAGGGGAAAGCTACCAATGAAATAATGAATTACAAATAAATGCTTTTACAATCTCACCCCTCGGCTACTGATGCCAGCTCTAGGACCCTTCATGGGACATGTGGCCACAGAGGTGTTTTTACCTCATGATGGGACAAGCCTATTGAGCAGCTTTGTCACCAGTTGTGAACGCTGTGTGTGGGTGTCCCTAGATAAATGCATACACCCACAGCAGCGAAAACAAATGACTAGTACATGTTATGTAGGCTGGTAGATACAGGATGGCAAATGACACCCCCCCTCCTCCCCAAGGAAAAAAAAAGAGTTGTGTAATCTACAGGCCCAGAGGCGATCCTATCTACTCCCACATTATAGCTCAGTTGTGTTAGAAACCATTACTGCTTGTTACCTTGCAGCACAAAACACTGTGCAGGTGGTGGGCACAAGGAACCGTTGGGGACTTTCATGCCCAAACTACAGTTTTGTCATCGATGCCTGCTGCACATCCAGCTTCAAGTACCTGGTGATGAGGTAATAACAAATATTTTGTACAGGAAAGGCCTGAAGAGAACCTTCAAGGGGGGGAGTTTGCGGCAGTGTGTTTCCTGTGTTTTTGTTTTTCTTAATAAGGTTGAAATTGGTTCATTTTTTACATAGCTGGTAGGAATACATTTGGTTGTTCATACCTCTCTCCATCTTCGACTGATACCAACTAGAAAAGAGCAATGATTTCCCAGCTCTGCTGCAATGTCCTGTGTGAAGTCAGATGTTGGCTGTACAGAAATATTCTGCTTTTAGTGCTCTTACACTTCTTTCCTCCTGTTGTTAGATTTAGGCCACTAGATAGCCCTTGCTGTAATTTTTTTTTTTTTTACCCTTCAGTTTAAAACACCTCAAACTATAAAAGGGAGGGAGAAAGAAATTTACTCAGGTGGTTTTGTTTCTGCTTTTTCTAAAGTTTGACACAAATAAAGCTACGTTTGTTAACCATGTAAACAAGCATAGCTCCAGCAGAGTTTAAGATTGTCTTGAACTTAGCTTTAAATGTGGTTTCTCGTTACTGGGTAGGTGCGCTGCCTTTGCAACATCTCTGGGCACACGTACACATGTATGAGTTTCTGTGTTGCTTTTCTTGTCCATATGCACACGCCATATCTGTGATTTTGTGTATCATTCATATTTTATATACATATATATGTATGTGTGTATATATCTAAAATGGTTCATATGACATGATGATGCACTGTCAAATCACAGTGGGTTTGTTTCCTGGTTCTGGAATTCCCTTATTTATACTATAACAGAATATATTGGTGTTGTATATTAAACAGTACAGTAGTATAAGTATATTAAGGCACAGTGTATCAGAAGGCATAGTCTAAAGGCAGGAGCAAACAGCATTCTCTGTTCACGAAGGGGCTTTTTTAGGTTTGCTTTTTTCAGTATGTTTTTCTTCTTTTTTGCACAAAATCATCTTCAGTTTGTTTAGAAACAAGTGGTTCAATAATTTTATTTATGAACATATGCAAGGATGGCATGAAAATAGGGTGTTGTATGTGTGTACATCAAAATGGCTTTAAGTTTATATTTGTTTTAAAAAAGTAAAAAAAAATAACTGCTTCCCAGCCCTTCCCCAGACACTGCCTTTTCTAATAGAAAAGTTGTATTTACACTTTTTTTTTTTCTTGCGCTGTGATTTTATATTGTAACTTCATTTTTCTTTGGAAATGTATTTAAAAAAAAACACACAAGCAAATTTCATAAAAATTGGAAATGTTATTAAATTATGTCTGCAAAGTGAGATGTATTTTTTAAGAAAACATGGTGAAAACCATGAAAACCAAACTTTAGAACATTTCTGTCACTGCTGTGAGTGAAGAAGCCACTTGGTATGGCTGAGGGCCCTGCGTGTTGGGGTTGGTGGTGACTCTGTGTGTGTGTGTGTGCAACGTATGGTGACATGCAGGCAGCTCCCACTGAGCATCACAGAATCACAGAATTGTTGAGGCTGG